TTTTTTGCTCTTTTCCAGCATCAGAATAGGATCTTCATCTTGTAGTTCAACTATTTTTTGCATTTGGTTTGTAGCTTGATCAAAAACCTGATCTAGTTCACTCTTGTTTTTTTTCTTCATGTTTTTTTGGCATATAGAGTACAGAAAGCGTACCGTCATATCAGCAGCAAACGTTAACGATTTCAAGTCTTGCGCCTGTGATACGGTAAAATAGGCAAGCGCCACAAACGGATCCATGGAGTCTTGAGTAAAATTTTCAATTGACTTGGCTGAAACGAAATTAGTTGACTTCGCCCAAAATTCACACTGGGTTTCTAGTATATATGGAGCATTGGCTTTCTTAACGAATTTTTCCTCGAATGTGGTATTGGAGAACTTTTTTACTACAAAGACAAGCACTACAGGCAATACTTCATAACGTTCATACACATGAGCGCAATAGTTAATTAGCCTTATCATAAATAGTTGGTCAATGCAATTCTGAACTTCAATTAAGATGGGTGGTAGATCATGTGTCACTCCATTTCTTGGTATATATAAGGCATCTGATCTTTTACCATCTGCCCATTCTGTTGAACCAGAAAGATATGCATTATTAGGAATATTTATCCCTATGAAAAGTAAATGTGTTAAGTTCCGTTTCATGGGTAAAAAAAAAACACACTTACCAAGCAAATGATGAACAATAATATTTATAACGGTTTTGTTGTTTGGGATAAGTTTGCTAGTAAGATCTGTCCCAGGTCTCATTTCGAAAGGCAGATATAAATTATTTATATCTTCCTCCTCTACCGCAGCCATATGTTTGAATGAAAAAAAGTAGCACCGACAATAACGACATCGACATCGACATCGATAGCCCAAAAAATTAACGAATGATGACGACACCGACACCGACACCGACACCGATACCGACACCGACACCGACATCGACACCGATACCGACACCGCACCGACATCGATAGCCCAAAAAATTAACGAATGATGACACCGACACCGACACCGACATCGACACCGATACCGACACCGACACCGACATCGATAGCCCAAAAAATTAACGAATGATGACACCGACACCGACATACACGCGAAAAAATTAACGACAACAGAAAAAAAGGCGGATAGTGCCAGAAAACAAACGAAATAAACTTTTAGGACAAAATGATTTTTTATTTTGGACGAACTACGTAAAGAAAAATGATATGTAGGGATAACATTTACCTTAAGCCTAATTCTTTGTCAATGCACCTATCCCAGAACATCTCAGCATGCTTAACTCAACCTTGACAATCCTGAACAATAACTGATTGACAAGCTGCAGGAAGGAGAGATGTCAGAGTATCTGCTTGTGTCCACTTTAGGGATTTCAGTAACTGAATCGAAGTCAATTATCTTTTCGATGTCGCCATATTGATAAGCTACATCTTCCATTTGTTCTTCAATAATGTAGTAGCCGCTTGGAGGTATATAGCTAATGTAATCCATGTTGATTTCTAAAAGATTTAGTGCCAAAAAAAAATATAAATCGTCTAAAAACTTATTGCATTTAATCCCAAAAAAAAAAAGTAACCCGTCCCAGTTTCTATTTTCAAATTGTCCCAAAAAAAAATAGTGTCTCGAATTTATTTACAAGTCGTACCAATTAAGACTAAAATCCTGTACATTTTCAGGGTTAAACTCAGTTTTACCTGCGGGGAGATTAATTTGGGTTAAACTTAGTTGAACCTACTCTGTTTAACCTGTGAAAGATCTAAACTAGTTTTTGTGCGCATGCCCAGCAGTCTAGTTTTAGGTTAAAACTCTATAGATCAAAGAACAGTATTATTCTTTTCTTACTAAAGTTAAATGAATACATATCTTTTTATGTAGATGAGCAGGGGAAAATTCGTGACGAAGAAGGGCGCGATGCAATGGAATGGGAAGAGGAAATAAATCCCTTCCATTTAGAAACGTTAACCTGTCTTACACTTTACTGTGAGAAGCAAAATTCAGAACCAAAGTCAACCGACGAAAATTTGGATGCTGCAATGGAGAAAATTGCTGTCAGAGTAAAGAACAAAAGTGAGAGCTAAAAAATTTCTCCCATGACCAGAAGCTACCTTTTGTCTATTATGACAGGATAAAATTGTTTAATGCTGCTAAATCTGGTAGATTAGCTAGTGGAATTGCTGAAAGGACAGCACAGAAATGGGCTAAGAAACTCAAAGAGGACAGATATTGGAATATTTTTGAAAAACAAACCAACAAAGTCAATAAACCAGCGGGATAGCCTGAAGAGAGGTACAAGATCCACCTTTTCAATTTTTTTGATAATAACCATCAAATCAGGGCTGTAAATGCAGCTGGTTCACTTACTGAGAAATTTGAAGCGTTCACACTGAAAGAAACAAGTGTCAGAAGCTTCCTCAAATCTGAATGCAACCTTTCGTTCAAAAAATCACTCGTCATTCAGCTTCCAGAAATGATCCAACCAAAATTGCAAACCGCATAGCGTGAGTTGAGAAGTGGAGTAAAACAGATATGAATTATCTTGAAAACTGTATTTTTGTTGACGGATCAGGTTTCGACATCAATATGAGACCTCCAGGAGGATGGTCTACTAAGGGTACACCAGCTATTGTAATCACTCCTAGTACCAGAGCAGTATCACATACAGCTTTAGGTGCAGTTTCAGCAAAATATGTCGTGTCAATGGAGCTCTGGAATCCTCAAGAGCACTCATTAAAAAGGCTAAAGATTGATACTGGCAATTGCAAAAGAAAAGCATCGTCTAAGTCAAAGAAGCCTACATCTAAAGGAACCGTCACGGGCCACTATATGAACTTTATTCAAAAAACAATGGATGGAATGAATTGCATTTCGGAAATGAAAGGATACTATATAGTAATGGATATTGCAAGCATTCATTCATCCAATGAGATTGACACTATGGTGACAGAGAGAGGATATAAGTGCGTTTATCTCCCTTCTTACTCGCCTATTGAGCAATTTTGATCCATAGTCAAAAATAAGGTCAAACGCAGCCAATTTCAAGCCAAGTAGGATTTATCTACAAGAATAACTGAGGCATGTAATCCGACATAATAAAATTTTCTACACTGCTGTAAAAAAGTACCTGTTGGTATTTGAGAAAATAAAAACCGCGCTTACTGTATTGCATAAATTTTAAGCAGTGCGTTATTTGATAATAACGGAGTATTGGTAGAACGTCAACAATTTTATGCTGTTCGCTATAGAAAAGGAGGAACGCGCGATTCAAAGCAACAATAACTTGAAGAGTATAGTCAGTACCTTTTAAGTATAAATTAATATTTTATCCTCTGCATCACGGGTAACAAAAAAGAATACTTTAGAAAATAGAATCAGCAAACAGCCTCTTTTCTTTGTAGCCACTTTGTGTGACCTCAAGCCTGTTCTGTCTCGAACAAACAATAAAGAAATGGCTGAGGCTTTCATTTTGTATTTGTTTCTTTCCTTTTTCTATTTTTCTTTTCTCCTTATGAGTTACTCTGAAGATACTTATGATTACTTATTCAAGATCATCATTATTGGGGATTCGGGTGTAGGCAAATCAAATCTATTACTTCGATATACGGTAAGGAGAATAGGCGAAAGGGAGAAACAAGGCTAACTATTTAAAAAAGTCAAACGAATTTCTTCAGGATTCAAGAAGTACGATAGGTAAAAGACACTTATTTCATGTTTATCGACTCTAAATTATTTTCCTTTTAGGAGTGGAATTTGCCACCAAAACGATCAATATTGTAAAGTAGTTGTCGTATGCGCGGCTTAAACTTTGACTGATGACAAGCTTAGGATAATCACGTTATTAAAGCTCAGTTATGGGATACAAGCGGTCAGGAGCGTTACAAGGCGATTACGAGTGCATTCTATAGAGGAGCTGTAGGTGCTTTGTTAGTCTATGGTAAGTCATGCTGCTATTTTTCAAAAAGAACTAGAATATATATATACAATTGTTTTAGACATTACCAGGAAATCATCATTTAATCATATCGCACAGTGGTTAGAAGAGTTAAATGAACATATAGAGGATTCTATCCCACTTGTGCTAGTTGGAAATAAGATAGATTTATCAGACACAAGTCGTGCTGTGAGTACAGAAGAAGCAAAAAACTATGCATCAAAATCGAAAATGATGTTTTTTGAAGCAAGTGCTTATGATACAACAAACGTGACTTTGGCATTCGAGACTATGTTCAACCAGATTTATAAAGAATTATCAAAAAGTAAACTATTGAAAAGGAATACATCACGAGATGTACATGCTTTACCTGTAAATACAGTCAACACCATCCGCCTACGTCCACCTTCTGTTTATAACAATAACAATAGCTTGACACATGGTAAAAAATCTGAAAATAAATGCTGTTCATAATTTTCCTCCCTTTATCATTTTTGATAAAAAGATGAATAGAGATTATCACTCAAGAGTTCCCATAGATGAGCAATTGCATAAAAAAAGAGAGGTACCCGAGAGATAGGAGTAATATGAACAAGGTAAAAATTTCCAAAAAGGTTGGTGCGTACCACACACTAGGACTGCTGTCACAGTTCGCTTTTTGAAATCAAGTTTGGATGAAGTACGCATTACAGTGCTCACAGTGCCAATTGTCGGCTTTATACAGGACCAACTGGCGGTTATATATTTTCCAATTGGTGTTTCTTTTTTGCATCAAAACATGATGAATAATATTTTTACTATGAAAATGGTCAAGGCGAAACTTTCGATGAACAAGGAAATGAAGAAATGGATTGGAAAGAAGTTGATCTTTTTTATTTGAAAAACGTGACTAACTTTGGTCAATATCAAGTCTCAGTCCCCTGAGCTCAATCCTAGCGACGAGAACCTTGAAGAAAAAAATGAAACGTTTGGCAGAAAAAGCTGCGAAAGCTCATGCTAGAAAGGCTTACAAAGTCTATGCTGACGATGAGAAAACTCTTTTCTTATATTATTTGAAGTTCAAGCTGTACAAGGCTACGGCTGCCGGTAGAATGGCTTGTATTACTGTTAAATTCGGTACAAGTTAAAGTAGTGAAAAAGACTGTAAAGTTGACAGGTCCGAAATAAGGTTGTTCTTATATAGCTTTTCAGAACTATATCGGACACTATAAAGATGTTTTAAACAAACAATTATAGCCATCATCGTAGCCATCATCGTAGCCATCATCGTAGCCATCATCGTAGCCATCATCGTAGCCATCATCGTAGCCATCATCGTAGCCATC